TAACTTTGACTGTAAAAATAATAATAAATAAGATAATGATATGAAAGTAATTGAATAGAATAGTAAAGATAACAATATATAGAAATAAAAATAAATGTTTATAAAATAAAAAATAATAAAGATTTAAATTAAATAGATTAAATTGAATAAACACAAAAAAATATAATATTTGAAAGTAATAATGTAATAGTTAAATAAAATTTAATAATCTTTAAAAAAAAAAAAATAATAATTATTCTTAGGAATTTTTTTTATAATAGAATAAAAAAAAAATTAAAAACAGAATTCTGAAAAACGGTTTAATAAAAAAAACTTATCAAAATATTTTAAATAAACGTTTTTATAAAATTAAAGTATATTAAACATAACAAATAACAAAGAACTAAAAGAATATTATGAAAAAAATATAAAAAACTAATAATAATAATAATAATAATAATAATAATAATAATAATAAAAAAAAACATAATTATATTAATTATAACAATTAAAAAATTATCATTTTTAAAACAATTAAAAACATTCTTCTTTTCTTATATAAGAATAATAAAAATTATTACGACAATTGCTTTATAAAAGAAACTAAAGGAAAATAATCGAATAATAAAATTAATTGATTAAATCATAAATGTAATAAAATTTAAAATAACAATAGTTTGTTTCTTAAATTATAAGTTTAAATATTTAAAATAATATACCTTAAATAAATAAAATTAAGAAAAATTAATAAATATATTATTTTACTTCAGATATAAATTAAAATATTTAAAATAATTAATAATCTATAAATAAAATTAAAATTCCGCAAAGACCAAATTCATGTATTATTAATAGTAATGAATTTTGTTTAAGAGGCTAAAATTAATTTAGTAACTTTAAAAGCACTAAAAATAAATAGAATGACTAATCTAAATACAATTAAATTTTATTAATAAAAAATGATGAAGAAAATAATTAGTTTTTTAGTCCTTGGGAAAATTAAATTGATATATAGAACTATAATGATGATACTTAAGATTTTTAAAAATATGCTAATGAATTTTGATATATGAATAAAATTATATATAAAATAATTTTATATATATACAATTTTCATAAATTAAATTTATTTTATTTGAAAAAATTATTATAATTATTTTTTATTTTATTTATAAAAATAAATAATAATATATATTTTTTATTTTAATTAAATATATATTAATAACATTAAAGATAATATATAAAATTTTATAAATAATAAGTTTTCTAGTATTTATAAGAAATAAAAAATTAGTTTAAAATTAAACTAGATTATATAAAATTATTAATTTGAAAATAATGATAATCTTTAAAAAATAATTAAATAATATCTTTAAATAAATAATTATAAGATAATAATTAGATTATTAAAAAAATAAAAATAAGGGACCTGCGAGGATTGAACACGCGACCTAAAGATTTGCAGTCTTCCGCTCTACCACTGAGCTAAAGCCCCTTTACATTAATAGTTTATAATAATATAATATGTAATTACATTTAATTTTATATATGTACTGAATTATTTAATTAATTATATTATACTAAAAATAAATAAAAAAAAATACAAGGGACCTGCGAGGATTGAACTCGCGACCTAAAGATTTGCAGTCTTCCGCTCTGCCACTGAGCTAAAGCCCCTTGTAATATTTTAGGATTTAATTGAAAATATGTTTTTTGTAGACTTATAGCATTATTTATTTAATGTTTTTATATTTTATTAAATTTTTACTTATATAGTAAATATTTATAAATAAAATTTATATTATTTTTCTTTTAATTTTTTTATAGTTTAAATTAATAAATTATTAAAATATAACTAAGAGTTTTTGTTGATGTTTACTTTTTTAGATTTATATATCTATTTTTTATTATATATATATATATATATATATATATATATATATATATATATATATATATATTTATTATTTAATGAGAATGATTTAAAATAAAATAATAAAATACTTTATAAATTAAATTTTAAGTAAATAAATATAAAAAGAATATTAAACTCTAAAAGTTTTTTATTTTATTTACGAATTAAACTAAAATTTATAATTATAATTTGATTTTTTTTAATTAACTCATTTATTTTATAGTATTTAAAGAATTTATATTATATTTTTAATATATAATAATATATTAAAAAATTAAATAGAATTTTTATTTTTTAAACAGATAAAATTTAAAACAAACTCTTAAATAGGAATAAATTTAATATTTTTTAAATAAATGTTTTGTAAAAAATTATTTTTAATAGGTTTATACAAATTTTAAGGCAATATTAATTAATTAAATAATAAAAAAAATAAAAATTTATTAATAAATAAATAAAATAAAAAAAACATTAGTTATAATAATTTAATTAATAAATGTACGAAAATATATTAAATTAAATAGAAGATGATGAAAAATATTTGCTTATTTACTAAAGAAGAAAATAATTAAGATTCAGCTAAAAACGTACATCTAGTATTTCCCCTGTTAAAAGATCTAAAAGTGTAAATAGAAATCATTAAAATAATAATAACGAGAAATATTTCAATATGATTAATTGTGGATAATAATTCTCAACACATTAAAATTACAAAAAAACAAATCCTAAACAAAGACTTGTTTTTTAAAATTTATATTTAAAAAAATCTTTATATAAAACAAAAAATTAAAAATTAATAAACAGTAATATAAAAGAAACATCTTAAGAAAAATTATTAAATTCAGTAAGAAAATCGAATAAATTATAAGATTAAAGGTCAAAAATCGAAAATAAATATGATAAAATAAACACATACAGTTAGTTTGAATTTGACGTTTCTTTTGATAGAAGTTACAAATTTAATAATTAATAAAATGTTAGCTTTTCTTAATAGTAATTTTAAAAAAAATATTTTAATTAAATTTAATAGAATAATACTAATTTGATAATTTCAGAAAAATAAAAATAAGAAAATTTTTAATAGTCTACTTCTTTAATAAGAAATTATTAAACTTTTAATGATTCTCCAATTAATCTTTTGGATAATAGAAATGAAAAAAAATATAAAAAAATATTAATTCTATCCAAAAATAGTTAAAAAATATTGCTTGTTTTAATAACAATAATGAAAATTTATTTGATGAAAATAATTCTAAAAATTATTATTAAATTAAAAAGTACAAAAATTAAAATAAAATGGAAGAATTTTCAAATATTTTTAACTAAAAAAAATAATATTAAGTTTTTAAAGAAGATATTGATTATAAAAAACTATAAAATTTATTGAAAAATTATTTAGAAACAGTAAATAAATTAAAAGATTAAAATTAAAAAAAGGATTTATAAATTTAAAATTAATAGTTATAAATAAAAGATCTAAAAAGTATTATATATGAATAATTAGATATAAAAAATGATATTAATTCTAAAACAAAAATAATGATAAAACTGAAACAAGTTTAGGAAGAAAATATCTAGTTAATAATAAAATCAAAAGAACTTAAAGGAGAATTAAAGTTAAATAATTCTGATTAAATTATTAATTAAATAAAAGTTATTGAAAATAGTATATAAATAAAAAATAATTAAATCTATAATTTAAAAAACCTATATAATTCTTATTGATAATATTTTACTATATTTTTATTAATTATGTATTTTTGTTTTTTAAAATATAATAAAAATTTTTATTATATAATAAAAATTTTAATTTTAAATATAAATATTTAAAAATAGTATTTGTATATATATGTAAATAATATAATAATTAATTAAATTTAATTAAAATTTTATAAAAAATATATTTTGTTAAAATTAAATAATAGGATAAAAAAAAAAAAATATAAATAAAAATATAAAATAAATATAATATTTTAAATTTTAATTTATATATATATTTTTTTTAATTTACATACCCTATTTTTATAAAGAAAAAATTAATTTATTTTTAAATATATAATATTTATATAAATATATATATATATATAATATACTTTTATATTTTTTTTTTATTTTAAGTTTCACTTACTTATTCATTTAATTTAAATAATTATTTATATATGGAAATATTTAATTGTTATTAAAATAAATATAAATGTTTAAATTTAATACCTATATTTAAAAAAATAAAAAAATATAAAGCATTTACTTCCTATTATATAAATATTTATATTGTCAATTTTCAATATTAATTTATAATCGATACATATTTATTACATCGATTATTTTATCTTTTTTTAATCTTATTTTATTTTAAATAAATATTATTATCCTATTTATAATGCAGATATATGTATATTTTAATATTTTTATCTAAAAAATTTTAAAATTATTTTCTTTAAATTATATTATTATAAAAATAGTTTAAATGTTAGAATAAATATTCTAGAAATTAAATCGTTATTTCAATTTTTTTTTTGGAATAGTTTTTTTAGCTTTTGTATTTGTATAATTAATTATGTATTCTACATTAAAATTCGGTCATAATACAGAGTACGAGAAACAAAACAATCATTTTTAATTTATAAGATATATTGATAACAATTTGTCTACAAATCCAATCGAAGATATATATCTAAGTAAATCTTCATGTAAAGAAAATTACGTAAAAGAGCATTTATATACATTTAGGGGTACCTACGCAGGCTGTATTAAAAACACTGTAACTGCAACTACTGCTAATCCAGATATTTATAAAATTTCAGATGAAGAAAATATAGAGGATGATATTTAAGACTACGAAAAATGCAAGGAAGGATACAATTATGTATACCCAATAAGCAAAGCTAAGCTTTATATGTGGAATAATTATTACGTATGTGTAAAAAGAATCCAAAAAATCGTATATATTTAAGAATAAGTGAACAGAGTAGGGTATGTAAATTGTCAAAATAAAATTTATGTTTTTGGTACATTAGATTAATGCCCTATATATTCAATTTCTTTACCCGAAAATGCCGATTTTTAGTAAAACGAAATCCAGTTTGTAATATCGAGGAATTATGATTAAAATAATCCTAAATAGCCTTTATAATTTATTCAGATTAGCTTAAATGGAAAACCTTGCTATAATTAATAAAAAGATAATGTCATTAATAATTCGAGTGTACATCCTTTATATAAGCAAGATTTTTTCGATTGCGGAATATATGGGTAGGATATTGAATATAGTACGGAAATATTGAATGCAAAAACGATTAAATTCTTTGATTTTTTAAAAGGAAATAACATGGAAAATTTAATTAAGGATAGTGGTATTTTTTTCGATAATTATTTCAAAGATGTGTCTGTTTAAATTGTGGCTAGAAGAAAGATCGCGTTTAATAATTTTAATTGCCATATGTTTCCGAATTATATAAATACTATAAAAGATACAGAATATAAAATCGTCAAAACAGGAAATTTTTATTATATTTTTAAAAGTATTATTGCTACTTTGATGTTGGTTTTTTTGTTAATAGAATTTAAGATGGTCTGTGGGGAGGATGATAAATTACAAATTATGTCTATCTTTTCAAAGTTCTGGCTATTATTGTTTAGTTTGATTGTTTTTATAGAGGGGATATATTATAGGAAATATTATGAAATTTGTGATTAGGGACATTAAATTTATAATGATTATGGAAAATCGGATAGTGTTTGTTTTGCTAGTTAGAATTTGAAAGAACTATTATCAGATATGCCTAATTTATTGACTAATTAACACGCTGGATATACCGATATAGCCATTTAAGGGTTTGCTTTTGGAATTGTTGTTATGATTATGGTTTTAATTTTTGTAATTATTTAAGTTATTTTATGGTACATGCTTAAAAAGAGAGGAGGAGAATATGATATTGGGGATATGTTTTTGAATAAAAAATAAAGCTAATAAGATAGTGATAATGATGATAAGGATTAGGATGATGATGAAAAGACGAAAATTAAAAATTTAAAAGAAAAATTGGTGGAAAGTTAAGAATAGAATAATGATAAGGATAAAAAAAAGAAATAGAAAAAGAAAAAAAAAGAAATTTAGATGACTGAGATTAAATCTTAGGAATCATCAGATTGATATATATTATTAATAAAATATTAATATTGATATTTTTATTTTATATTATATTATTTTTATAAATATATAATATTTTTTTATATATATATATATATATATATATATATTTTATTTAAATAATTTAAATATTTTTTTTATTTTTTATATAATATTTTGTTTTATATAAAAAAGAAATATTAATAAAATATTATATATAATACTTAGAAATTCAATTATTAAAAATATTATTTATAAATATATATAATTTTACTAAAATATTAAAAAATTAAAGATATTTTTTTATAAACAAGAATCCTCAAAAATTACTTAATAGCTTTTTTATAAGAAATTTGAATAAAAATTAATTTAAATATAAATTTAATATTACTATTTGTAAACATTCAAACTTAATTATCAAAATTATATTAAAAATATAAAATTATATATCATTTTATTTACAATATTCTATATATTTTATATTAAGCTTATCATTTATTTTATAAATAAATTATTTTAGCTCTGCTTTCTGTTAATTTACTCCTTTTTAGATTTTTAAAAGGTTCATAATATGAAAAGCCATGCTTATATTCGCAGATAATTACAGGGAAAGACAACAATTTATACTATAACCACTCAATTTGTGTAAATTTACTGATAATTGAGAACCGAAAATGTTTCAAAATATTATTTTCAAATTAATAATTTAAACTATGGTTTTAAAATTAACAATAAGTGCTGGGAAAATGTCACATTTAGTATAACTTTTTTGAAAGTTTTATCAGCTTTTATCAATATAAGAATAAATTTTTCAAATACTTTCTATTTTTAATGAAAATAGTTATCTTATTTAAGATATATTTTATCAGATAATTTAAGCTAGGAATGCTTGATAATTTCTACGAAATCCTATAATCTAGAGGCTTTTTTATAATCTCTATACTTATATAAATTTTTGTTGTTAATAAATAAGTCATAAAGCTATTCACTTAATATTTTTTTTTAATACTTGATATAATTTTTTCTTTTAATATATTTTTAATAACTTTAATTAATATAAATTGATTATTTATATATATATTTTATTTTTCTTAAAAAAAAAGAAAAAGAAGAAAAAATGGAAAAACAATGGAAAAACAAGAATTTAACTGAAAAATTATTAAAAATAAAGCTAAAAAAATAAAATTTAAAAGCAGAAATTTTATTTTTGAAAGCTTTTTTTTATTTTTTTTCGTTGTTTCTTCTATTTATAAAAATAATGATATTTTTTATTATCAAATTGAAAGAAAAAGTTTTATAAATATAAAAAAAATATAATTTTTTTTAAATTAAATATATATATATATATTTATATACGTTGTATATTTTCTACCAATATTTTTAAATTTATTTATTTTATATATTTTTCCATTATTTATTTTATTAATTGTTATTACTTATTATTTTTTTAAAAAAATAAAAAATAAAAGAATAAAAATTAATATAAATAAATGAGTTAAGAATAAGATAATTAAAATGAATCTTAAAATCCGCCCTAAGTTATAATTATACCATAAAAAACAATGAAAAATCCTCTTGATTTCGTGCAAACAAAAGCAAGTAGATTTGGGAAAGTTTAATCTTCATATGCGATTCCAAGCGAATCAGATACTGATAGTGATGTTGAAGAAATACGTTTGCCATAATCACATAATAGAAGAAAATCTAAAAGCATAAGATTAAATAAGTGTCCATCCAAAGTTTCTCATCCAATCGAAAATTTAAAAAAACAATTTAATATAACAAAATTAAAATATAAAATAGAAAAAGATAAGAAAGAATTAAATTAATTGAAATTGTTTGAATTTTTTTGTTTTCTTAATAATACTATTTAAAATTAATAAAACGAGGAAAATATGGACATTCTTTAAAAAATATTGCAAAATCTAGAGGAAGAATTCGAATAATTTATAAGATTTTTTAAATAATAATAAAAAAATTAAAACAATCAAGTATTTTTTTTTTTTTTTTTTAGAAAAAAAAAAAAAAAAAATATTTAAAAAAAACTATAATTTTTTTATTTTTTTTTTTCAAAAAAAAAAATAAAAATAAAAAAATTTATAAAATTTATTTTTTTAACAAAAAAAAATATTAGTTTATATCGGAATGTATAATTAAAACTGAATATTTATAAAATAAGCTTTTGGAATCATTTTATCAAGAATAAATTGAGAATTAAATGTGCAAGAATCAAATTTAATTCAAACAAAAATTAATTGATGAGTCAGAAGAATAATTAGTCACTCAATAGACTTCTTAGGAATGTATTCAATATTAAATTAGTGAAAATTAAATATAATTAAATGAATAGGCTAAATATTTATAAATTAGTTATAATAATTTGTAAATAGAATATGATAAATTAGAATTAAGGAAAAACTCTTTTGATGAATAAGATGCTAAAATAAAAGAGTTTACTATCATTCTTTAAGAAAATAAGGATAATATTAAATTCCCCGATGATGATATTTTCAATTAAAATATTTAAACTAGAGTTGAATTAGAATAAAAAGTAAAATAATTAACTAAATTTAATAAAAGCTTAAGTTAATAAAATAAAGAATTTAAAAAATCGTAAAAAAAAAAAAAATTATAAAAATATTTATGTTTTTATTAAAAAAAATATAAATAGATTATAAATATATAATGAGAATAATAAAAAATTAGAATAAAAACTTGAAATTGAATAAAAAAATAATAATCTTATAAAATTCCTTGATAATTGTGAAAATGATAATGAAAAAATATAATAATTAATTGATTAGGTTTAAAAATAAAATATTTAAATATCCGAATTGAAATAAACAAATGAAAAATTCGAATAATTATCATTGTTTTCATAATAAATGACTAATATTTAAATATAAAACTCAAATAATATAATAGAAATGGAAAATGAGTTTTATTAAAATTAATACAGAGATTTTGAGATTAATATTATTAAGGTAAAAAGTGGAATTATAGAGGAAAAAATGTAAATCGAAAATGAAAAATTATAAATATTTTAATAATTTTAAAATACTCTTTAAGAAAAAGAATAATTAAAATTAAAAAATGAAAATTTAATTAATGAAAATGCAAATTTTAAACTTTCTTATAAAACATTCGAAAAATAATTTAAATAGTAAAATTATTTTAAATAAAAAAAAACTTTTTTTTTAATTTCTTTTCATATAAAATAAAGAGCTGTAAAAGAAAGAGATTAACTTAAAAAATAATAAACAGAAATAGAAGAATAATAAAAAACTAAAGAATAAGATATATAAAAATACGAATAATAATAAAAGGATTTGGAAACTATTAAATTAGAAAAAGAAACAATTGAATAACAATTGAATGAAATTTAAAAATCTTATTAAGAAATTGAAAAATAATACCAAGTTGTTTAGGAATAAGTAAAGAATAATTAAACAAAAGATGAATTAGAAAAAATAAAGAAGAAATAGAAAATTTAAAAATAGAATTATTATAAGTAAAATAAAACTATGAATAAGTTTAATAGTAACAAGAAAATATAGAAAAGGAAAATAAAGCATATAAAGATTAATATAGGATGATAGAATAATTATTAAAAGTAATTTTTTATTTTTATTTATTTTAATATTTGTTAATAAATAAATAAGAAATCATTAAAAAAAAGTGAGCAATAAAAACAAGAATTATAAAGACTTTAATAATAGACTAATAAATAAAATATAAATTAAAATGAAGATTTTGATTAATAAAATGAAAATAATAAACATATTTAAAATTTAGAAAAAATTAATAAAGACCTTTAAATATAAATAAATGATTTAAAATAAGAACTGGAATAATAAAAGGAAGAAAAAACAAATGAAAAGTAATAATTAGAAAAAATTGTTTAATAAAATTAATAAAATATTGCAGAAATTAATTAGGAAAAATAAATGGAGAAAATGGAAAAAGAATTCGAATAAGAAAAACTTAAATTTGAATAATAGAAGAATTAAATTTTAAAAAAATTAAAAGAAATGTAAAATGAAAATTATTATCTTTAAAAATCTTCAAATTCTATAATAACAGAAAACGATTCTTTTAAATCTACTTTTAAAACTTTTTAGAAATAATTTAAAGTATATTTTTTTTATTTTTCGTATATATAATATAATAAACAAGGAAATTGTCAAAGAAAATAATAAATTAAAATAATAAATAAGTGAAAATAATTAAAAAAATTAATTATTTCAATAAAATTTATCTTAATATAAAGAATTATAATGGTAATATTAAGATTTATCTTGGCAGTTTTAAGAATATAAAAATGAAATTGAAAAATAGATATATAATATATAAGGAATATATGATTAAAAAAATTAATTTATGTTGAAATTGAAAGTTAAAAAAAATTAAAAGAAGAAAAAATTCTTGAAAATGAAAAAATGCAAATTGAAAATTTAATGTTAAATAGTTAAACTTAAAATAATAACATCAAAATTACTTATAAAATCATTGATAATGAATTTAAAAAATTGATTGATGAATCAAATTTATAGAAAAAGAAAATTTGTAATTTAGGTATATAAATTATATATATAAATATATGTATATATATATATATTATATATTATTTATATTTATATATAAATGAGGAATAAATTTAATAAAATGAAGAAAATTAAAAAAGTTTTATTTAATTAAAATAATAATATTAATAATTAATAATTAAATATGAAATTATTTTATAAGAAAATAATTAATTAAAATAATAAATAATACAATAAAATTAAAATTAAATATAAAATAATTTCAATGTTGAAAATTCAAATATTATTAATTAGTAAAATAAAGAAATAAGTTTATTTTAATTAAAATTTGATTAATTAAAAGTTGAAAATGATAATTTAAAAGACGAAATAAATCAATATAAAGATTAAAATAATAAATTAAAACATAAAAAATAAAAATTAAAAGAAGATAAAGATAAACTAAAAAATGAATATAATGAATTAAAAGATGAAAAAAATAAATTAAAAGTTGAGTTTAATTAATTAAAAGAAAATTAATATTAATAAAAAAACTTAAAATATATATAAGAAGAAAAACTAGAAGAAATTAGAAATTTGAAATAATTATAAATTAATTTAGAATAGAATAAAATAGAGTTAGAATAAGAAAGAAATAATTTATCGAAATAAAAAAATGAAGTTAATTAATAAATTATCGATTATTAATAAAAATAATAGGAATTATAATATAAATTACAAGAAATATAAAGGACAAATGAATTGTTTATACAAAAATAATTAAAAAGTAATGAAAAAATAAAAAAATAAAAATAAGAAAATGAACAAGAAAAATACGAACTGATTAAAAAAAATTAATAAATTTAAGAATATAAAGATTAGTTAATAAATTAAAAAGAATAACTGTAAAAATAACTTATTTAAATGTAATAAGAAAATTTAGAATAAAAATAATATATTATTTCATAAGTATAAAATAAGTTTTAGGAATAAAACTTTTCTAAACACGAATAAGATGAAAAAATTTAATAATTAAATAATTTAATGAATGAAAAGTAGTAAAATTATGAAAAGATAATTAAAGAAAATGAAATATTATTAGAAGATTAAGAAAAAAAAATTCGATAAAAAGATAATCATATATAAAATAAAAATATTAAAATTGAAGAAATGTTATAAGAATTGAATTAATAAAATATAGAATTAAGCAATTAATATTAAATTATAAAAGACTATTAAGGCAAGAATTAAAGCTTATAAGAAAAAAATATAATTTTATAGGAAAAAAATAAATATTTATAAGATAAAAATTAAGATTTAGAAAATAAACTTAATGATATTTAAAGAATTTAGAAATAAAAAATAAACGAATAAAAAAGAAATTTATCAAATTTTTAAGAAGGTAAAAAAGATAATATAAATTTGATTAGCAATATCATAAATAATAATAAGAATAATAATGATAATAATAATAGTAATAATAATAATAATAATAATAATAATAATAATAATAATAATAACAATAATTTTTTTTCTTCTTAATAATAATAATTAAGCATTTAAAAAAAAAAATCAAATCATTTTAATTTTATAAGTGACGATAAAGAAAAATTTTAAAAAAATTATTTCTAAAATTTTAAAAATGAACAAATTTCATAAAAAATTTTTAATAAATTAACATAGACTTACAAAATTAATAATACAGAAAATACTTCTGAATTTTAAATAATTAACAAATAAAATTAGTTTTTTTAAAAAACTCTCCCTACTTCTTAAATTAAAAATAATATTCAAATTTCTAAATCATAGGAATTGAATAAATATAATACTTTACCTATAAGTTTAGAAAAAAAATATCATTAAAAAGATTTATCTGAACCTAATAATTTAAAGAAAATATTACCTTATTACTAAGGAAATAAAAAAAATTAACTAAGAGAAGGTATTGGCTGCTAAGTTTACGAAAATGGGAATGTTTATGAAGGAGAATGGAAAAATGATAATAGAAATGGATATGGAATATTGAAAGATAATTTTGGTATTGATATTTATAATGGTGATTGGAAAAATGATATGTATAATGGGAAAGGAAGATTAAGAAATTTAAATGTTCAGATTTGTTTTAATGAAGAATGTGATGATTTTGAAAAGATTTTTAAATAATGGTAGTTTTATAGTGGTTAGTTTATTAATAATTTAATGCATGGGCAAGGTACTTTAATTATTTATGGAAATTATAAGTTCATTGGGACATTTGTTTAAGGAAAAATTAAAGGAGAAGGATGCTTGTTTAAAGATAATTTATAATTTGTTAAAGGGATTTGGGATAATTATGATATATAAGGAAATTATGAGAATTGATATATTAAATGAATATAATAAAAAATAAAATATATTTTTTTTATTTTATTCTTATTTATATTTACTAATTTTTTATTTTATTTTTTTCTCATTTTATTGAAATTTTATTTTTTTCTTTTTTTTATAATTTTTAATTATAATATATTAAGATACGAAAATATTTTATTATATCTTTTTTTAAAATATATTTATTATTTTTTATAGAAATGACGACTTATTTTTAAGTATAAGGTGTTTAATATATTCAAAGTATCTAAATTCTTATAAATATACAAATTTTATAATATTTTATGTTTTAAAGATAATATATACAGAAATGGGCCAATATAAGATAAAAATAAGAAATAATCACCTTATTGTTATTCTTTTAGAATGCCTATTAATTTAAATTAAAATTGTTTTTATTTTATATTTGATTTTTTGCCACATTAAGTAATCAATTTTTATATTGAAATTTAATTTTTATTTTTATACTAGCACAATTAAATTAATTTATTAACACATTTGATATAAATTTATTATATCAATTAATTGATTTTCGAAATAAATATTATTTAAAAAAATGAACTTTAAGTAATATTTAAAGAGTAATAAAAACAAGATGAAAAAATGATTTTATAATAATAAAATTAAAATAAAAAAGGACAAATACTGAATATAACATTGGGAAAATTAATATATAAGAATGGAATTAATTTATTTTTTAAAAGAATGAATAAAATAATGATAATTATTTGATTTTAAATGAGAAAAAAATTTAAATAAAAGATATTTTTTAACTTTAACCAAATTAATAATACAATATAAAAATTGGTAGATTATGTTTTTTTAATTTTTTGAGGATTTTATTTTTTTTATAAAAAAGCTTAAAACAACTAGTATAGTGGATTAATAAAAAATATTAAATTATAAGATTTTAATGATGAAAATAAAAAGGACAATTAAAATAAATTTTTATTTAATAAATTTTAAGAAAATTATATTTAACCTTTAAGATCTTTCGAAGAATTAAAAAATTTTAAATTCGAAGACGAAATTTTAAATATTTCTAAAATTCCTTTAAAAAAAACTCATAGAAAAAAGGTAAAAAAATTTTTTCTTTTCTTTTTTTTTATATTTTTTTGTCATTTTAAAAAATAAAAATATAGGATAAATCATAAGTAATTGTTTGTCATGATATGTGTGGAGGATATACATAAGATTGTTTTTTAAAAAGTTATAAACATGAAAAACATAATTATAGATTTTATTAATGGAATATGACAGATATTTTTATTTATTTTAGTCATTAAAGAGTAACCATCCCTACAAGAAGTTACATAGAAATATGTCATTAAAACGGAGTTAAATGTTTAGGTAGATTTTATATAATTGTATATATTAATTCAAATATGTATAAAAGGAACAATTATAACAGAAGATACGGGGGGTGAAAAAGAAAATGAATATTTACTTTCTTAAAGCGAATTTTTTATTGAAAAGCTAATATAATTATGTAAACATTATAAATTTGACGGTTATTTATTAAATTTTGAGTCTAAGTAATATTATATGATATATAATTTTTTTTTTTTCTTTACTTTATATTAAAGAGTTTTAAATGCTTATAAATTATGTGATTTTGTACATAAAATCACTTAAAAAATACATTAAGATATTCCTGGTTCATTAATAGTTTTTTATGATAGTATAATATCTGATGGTTCATTAAGATGGCAATCATAATTAAATTAAAATAATAAAGTATTTTTTTTTTTTCTACTATAAATTTTTTGTTAAAAAAAAGATGTTTTTTGAATCAAGTGATTATTTTTTTACTGATTATCATTGGAGTTTAGATAAGTTATATTAGTCTATGCTTTTTGCTTAGAAATAAAAACTTAAAGTATTTACAGGTATTGATATTTTTGGAAGAGGAAGTTATGGAGGAGGTTAATTTAATACAAATATTGCTCTAAAAGTTTTTTTATTAACTTATATATATTATTGTTATTTTTTTATTTTTTTCTTGTTTTATTACAAAAAGGAAATTTTATAAGCCGGAAGTAGCATAGCTTTCTTTGGACCAGGATGGACTTATGAAGTTGGGGGAGGAATGGAAAATAAAGAGGCTTTTTTAAAAAGAGAAAAATAGTTTTGGAATGGGATTTAGTATATTGAGCTTTTTAATTGCAAAAAAGATAAATGGAATAATGTTATTAATAATGGTTAAGGTTGGAATATAAATAATGAAGGGGAAGCAGTGTATTTTTTTTACATAATTTAATTTATTATTTAATCTTTGTTAAATAAAAAGTACATCTTCTGGTTTTTGTGTAAGAAATTTTTAAGTTTAATTCGATTAAAATTTAGATTAGAAATAAAAAAATTAGGGATTTCTTTACTTTTATTTTTAAGTTAAAGGAACTCCTCCAAATTGTTAAGATTATTATGTATTTTTTTTATATATAATATTAAAAATATATATTAATAATTTATAATGTATATTAAAGTATTCATGTATTGAATTATATGATTAATAAAATAATTTAATATGTTAATTAGATTCTAAAAACAAAATTATTAAATAAAATGTGACTAATTTTATGCTTTAATTTGCAGATGTAAACATTTATTCTTTAACAAACTCTAATTGGCAATAAATATAACTGGAAATTCCTTTAGTTTAATTTCCTTAAGCAACTTATGCTATATTCTATTAATCTGGAAAAGATGCAGAATATTGGGGAGGTCATTATGGCAGTAGGTAAAAAATAAATAAATAATATATATATATATATATATATATATATATATATATATATATATATTATATTATATTTATTTATTTATTTATTTATTTATTTATCTATTTATATATATTTTTAATTTTTAAAAATTTAGATTTAAAAATGAATAAATTGGATTAAGAATTTATAATTAAGAAAAAGATTTGTGCAAAAATCTGCATTTGAAAAGATTTATAGAACTTCCTATATAAAGTTATTATAATGACGGTGTAGGTTAACGTTATTTTTTAAATGGTATTCTTTAAAGTTTAAAATTTTAAGAAAATTAAAAATATTATAATAATATTAATGAGTTTGATTATAATTTCGCTTACATTAATAAGAAAGTATTTTTATATTAATAAAAGTAAATATATAAATTTGTTTAAATTAAAATAAATAGATTATATCTTCTAATATTAGTTAAAATCATGGAAATAATTATAATATTTAAATCGATGATTCTTAAGCTTGGAATGGAGCAAGTAGTTTAAAAATATATGGATTTATAGAATAAAATAAAGTAAATACTTTATAAAAAATTAAATATTATTTTTTAATAAAATAAAGGATATTTTGATTAAATTAACTAAAGTATAATTAAATTAAAAAGAAATTTTTGTTGATTTGAATATATAGGATATAACAAAAGTAATAATTTAAATATATATATATATATATATAATATATATATATATATATATATCATATATTTTAAAAGTCTTTGAATTTCGAATGTTATTATAAATCAAATGATAAAAATCTAATTAAACTAAATAATATTCTGAGTAAAGAAAGAGATAATAATTGGGTAAGTCTTAATTTTTAATTAGAAAATTAAAATAATTGTTAAATTAAATCTTTTTATTTACTAATAAGTAGTAAAAATTCTTAACAATCATTTAAATTTAATTTAGGACTCAGTTCAATTTATGACGATTAAATAAAATAAAATTATAAATAAATCATAAAAGATAACAATTTAATTTTAAAATAAGTAAATATAAGAGAAAATAGTTAAAATATTTTAATTTGTGATTAATAATACATATATGTAGATATTAATATTCAATTTTAAATAGAATAGCATATTTTTAATATTGGAAAACTGATTAGAATTTTTATGTATTAATATTTATTTCTTAATTAATATATATATTTTTTATAATAAAGTAATGATTAATGGATTGATAATTGTTGTCTAAATGAAGAAGTTTTATTAGAAAATATTTAAATAAAAAGCAATTTTGAAGAAATAGAAATAAAATGTTAATTAATATTAAATAATGGATTCCATATGCCTTTATAAAATTTAAAGAAATATATATTTAAAAGAGAATGTCTAATATATTTATATTGAAAAACAAAAGTTTCAATAAATAAAATAATATACACATAATATTAATAATATAAATATTAAATATTATAAATATTACATTCTTTATTTTAATTATTATATTCTTTTAAAATATATTTATTTATTTTAAGTCATTTATAAATTTTCTTCTTTTAATTTTTCTAGATTTTCTAGTTCTTTTTTTTGATTTTTTAAATCGTTTTCTTACTAAATTGCTTTATTTTTTAAATTATCAAACTATCTAATATGTGTTTCTTAAAGTTTAATATTCCATTCTAATTTATTTTTTATTTTTATTTGATCTTAGTATTTTTATATTAAAGTGTTAATCTAATTTATTATTTTTTAACAGTTTTTATCTTCGAGAAAATCTTTTAAAAAATCTTATAATTCTATTTAAATTTTGTAATCTTTTTATTCAGAAAAATTAATTTATTCGCATATATTTTTCAAAAAAAATTAAATATAATTATATTATTGCTTAGAAAATTCATTTTATTCTATAAAAATATCATTTTTTTTATATTTTTAAAGTTCGTGTTATGTATTTTTCAAAATAATTTCGTTTTTATACAGTTAGTTTTCTGTTTAAGAGATTTTTTGATCTTTTATTAATATTTATTATTAAAAATATCTTTTTTTCCAATTTTAAAAAAATAAAAAAAGAGTTTTTTTAGACATTTTTATAGCTTTTTTTTATTTTTTCTCGTTTTTTTCTGCTTTGTATAAAAATATTTTTTTATTTAAATTTTCGTTTTCTTTTTATAACTTGTTTATTTTTTATAATAATTCATTTATTTCTGTATTCTTTTGGGATAGAATAATATTTAGATTTTTCTTTTCTTGACTTAAGACTTCAACGTTACAGTCTTCTT